ATGGGAAGTTAAACACTAGTGTTTACAGGAAACCCACACACAGATATTTGCACTTCCGATCATCCCATCCTATGTCAGTAAAAATAGGATTGGTGAAGTGTTTAAATGACAGAGCACAAAAACTAAGTAGTACCAAAGAAAATCTAAAACAGGGACTGATACACATAAGAGAAGCCTTGAAACTTAATAATTACCCGGATAAATTAGTCAGGAAATATGTAAGGAAATGTAAAAATAAAATAAATAATGATCGTAGTGATAGTGATAATAATAATAATATTAATGACGACACCAATAATAAGGAATCTAAATCATCAGTAGTAATTCCATACAGGGAAGGAACCTCGGAAGCCTTACGCAGAATTCTTAACAAGGCAGGAATAAAAATGGCATTCAAACCCACAAACTCAATTAGAAACAAGCTTCGTCGGTTAAAGGATCCAGCCTGTGGAGCCTTTAAAACAAAACAATTTAGTTTATCTAATACCCTGCTTGCGATGATTGTCAGGTCAAATACATAGGTCAAACTAGTTGAACAGGAGCAGTCAGACTAGCAGAGCACAAAAATCCAGAAAAATCTAGATTGGTTGATCCAAATAAGATAAGAAATCTAGAGAAAAGTTCAGCTATAGCACTACATGCAGTTACACACAACCATACAATAGGATGGGATAGGATGACAGTTTTAAACTCAAATGTCACAGGGTATAGGGAGATTGATAACAGAAGCTTTGTTTATCTAATCAACTGCAAATACATGTAATAGTAATGATTCATGACCTGTCCGCGATATCTGGACAATTCTGCTACCCATACTACAAATAGGGGAGGACAAAGAAAACTATAAAACTCAAGTTTCGAAGTTGTGTGATTATAATTGATATGATTATGAACAATAAATTTTGCTCGAAACGTCATCCAGTAAATAATACTGTTTCACTGTGTGATATATCTAATAAACAAACTAATTTGGAATTACTTACTACCACAGTGCCCAAATTTTACACATATATTTGTATAGTAGTTCATTATTGATTAATATAAATACTATTGTACAGCTTCTGAGGATGATTTCGTTGATAAAGAAATTTTTCTTCACTGAACTGTCTTCTGTTTTCTTCATGACTCCTCAATGGGTCCTTAAATTAATTTGAATTTATTGCTTACGCTGAATCGAAATACTCGATGCTACTTCTGTACTCGATCTCTATTAAAATATCCGTTTTTTGGCGCTTTAACGATGTCTGGTGTTATTTTTGGTTGATGGTGACTAGCACTACATATTTCAACCTATTTAAGACTTGCCGGTTGGATGTACCTGTCTTTCCGGTGAAAGAATGGTATTTCCCTCACAAAAGGGAAGGCTTTTGTGACCCACCGGATATAAAACCTTGACGCTTAGGACGATTGGCAGAAGGTTCTATTCTCAGTGGGAACACTATCCACCACTGAATAGGCAGGTATGTTCAGCTGACGTAGTGCGCTTCTTGGATTCCATTGTCAATCGCCATAAACCAAAGTAACATATCTCTAACTTGTTGTGTACACTGATATGTACTGTATTAGTTTTGTTTCATTGTACTTAGTGATCAAAAGGGAAAAGTGAATTTTATTCGCTTGATAGTAGCTTGCAGTAGCATTTCAAACTGCGTATTTCTCTCCATTCGAGGATTTTCAGGTGGATGTGTCTGCATCATATTGATTAGTGCTGATCCCATTGCGACTTAAATCCAGCCATCATTTCAAAACTCAAGTTATACTATGAGTCAAAGTATGTGTCGTTTAGGTGGGCAAATATAAAATAACTGTGAATATTGAAAAGTTTACTCGGTGAATGTATGAGATTTATGATCAAGAAGTAATGAGTTATTGTGCTCCAGTTTTTTTCCTTTCTGGCTGGAACTAATTTAATTATTGATATTTTAGAACTCCTTAAAGTTCAACTGCTTAAAGATACTCTTCCAGTAGAATATGAATGTAGAAAAAGTCAATTTGAAAATCATTAATTTATTTTAATTGAGTAGCGGTTTAGTTGCATTCAAACTTTGAATAATACTATTCAATCACAGATGGTGTCGATAAACTTCTCCTGATACTTAATTTATGCCGTACATTTGTGTTTTCTTCCTAAAATTATTTTTCCAACGGAATACAGTAGGCTGTCTTAAATGAGTGATCTTATTAACTATATACTTAGACAAACAGTGAATCCTTCGATCAGAAAGTTATTTATTGCTTCCAGGATATTAATCACTGATGACTTGGTGCCTTTTTATTCTTCTGTGACCTCTTAGAACAAATGGGAGTTTATCAGTCTAAATATACGTGTGTTCGACGCAAACATAGGCAGGACTCGTAGATTTTTAATTGGTGGATGGTGACTAGCAGTGGAATCCAGGATGTGCATTTCGTCCTATTTGGGACTCGTCATCTGGATGTACCTGCATTTCTCAGTGAGTGATGATGTTCACACCGAGAAATGCAGGTACATCCAGCTGACGAGTCCCAAATAGGACAAAATGCGCATCCTGGATTCCACTGCTAGTCACCATCCACCAATTAAAAACTAATTAAATGCCCAGACATCGTCGAAGCATCTGCTCAAGAAGCCGACATGTCAACCTGAGACCGAGCACTTCGGTCCAATCAATCGACGGGAAAATCCAAAATTCAGTTAAAGGACTCATAGATGTCTGCAAGCTAATGCTACATAACATATTCCTAAGTGTCTTCAGAACAACATCGAATCTCTAGAATCTCTTATTGGTGAGAGCTCCTTATTCATGAAACACATTATTGCAACATGGTATAAAATAGATGCCTGTGTGTCTGTTAAACCTATTCATAAAATCTGTTAAATCGTATTCTAAGGTTTATGGAAACCTTAACATTTAAGAAGCTAAATTCATCTTTATATGTTCACTAACAGTTTGATAAAGTGCGTCGGTACCACAGCGGTTAGGACGCTCACTGACCATGCACATGGACCGGGGTTCGATCCCTGGCCAACTCACTCCTTTACCTCGCTAAGCCAGAAATAAAGCTGGTAAAGAGGAAAGGTTGGGCATGAGGTTAGCAACCCGATCCTATAAAAATAAACACCACTGCTACAGAAACTTCAAGCCTCTAGATTGAAGCCCTATGCACCTCTGGTAACGTGAAGGAATAGAAGAAACAGTTTCACATTATAATAAACCTCCACAGTCTTAGCGAGTTTAGTTATACAGCCTTTATCCCTTTTACAACAAATTCTTTTTTTAAACTGCTTGGTTTTTATTCGATTAGTAGTGTAGCTGTCTATTCTCCGTTATCTTAGTGGAAGTCAAACAATCAGTTGAATGTAAAATGTTAACTGACACAGCACTGTAATACTGTGTATTTTGTGTTCTAGTGTAATATTTTAGAAGAAAAACGATTTCTAGCGTGTAATGTATGCGTTAGTGGTTCAGTGATAGAATGGTCGTCAGTCACACACTATAACCTGGTTTGATTCCTAGCTGACGTACTCCTAAGTCTCACCTAGTTTACTAGATGGTTGTAAGTCTAGGAAAGAGGGAAGGATGGGTTGAGGCAACTGTTATTGAAACGTTGAAACTTGAATCTCTATGTTCCATTCGGAGCCCAAGGAAAAAAACAACATGTGGTACCAGCTATTCGACCATATTTTACAGTTGCCTATTGGATTTAAAACCTCGCCTAGATTACTAGCTCACTAGTTTTCTAGCTGGTCCCAAGCCCGGATAAAGAGGGAGGGTTGGGGCGTGGTGCTAGTAACTCCACCCTCAAAACTTAACCAAACTGCTACTAAAACTTCAACGCACAAATATATTAAAAATTCTAAAAATACAAACAATCAGGAGAAAGTGGAGATGGATTGGATACTCTCTGAGGAGGCCTTTGGGTGACATCGCGCGTCAGGCCATCACTCGAGTGGAACCCGAAAGGAAATCGGCGAGTGGGACGTCCAAGTGTGACATGGAGGAGATCGTGTGAAGAAGAGTTGAAACATTATGAACTAACATGGATGCAAGTGAAAAGTACAGCACAAGACAGAAGCAAGTGGAGGCGTGCAGCTGAAGCGCTATGTTCCACTGGGAACCCAAGGGAACAATAATAATATATTGGATTTAAACACATTTACTCAGATTTTCAGCCAATCTAAGAAGATGGTTGTAAGTTGATATCATCATGTAGAGCTGCAATTCTGAAGTTAAAAAGGCGTTAAATGTATCTGCGCTGATTTTTAATCACACTTGCAAATTATCAGTCTACAAATTATAACTGACATGCCAGTGAGAACAAGTTAGACCAGCCTTTAGTACTGTTAATTTATTTTTACTAACCATTCTGGAATTTATTCCGACTTAAGCTTATTTCGATTAACTTGATATATAAAAGTAATTTATATTCACCAAATAAAAGATTAAGCCATCCGACTTGAAGTCAAATATTTCCATCACTTATTAATCCTTTATCTTAAAATAACTAATTTAGTTTCATGAAAAAATCCTAATAGAATGTCAAGGTAAGTTTTATTCCGGACTGAGATCAGTTAGAAAGTTGTTGAAAACCAGCAGGCACTAGATAGCTATTTCGTCCTGGATTAGGACTATTCGGCAGTAGGCATGCATGCCCTCACTAGGTATTGAACCCAAGACTTTCACTATACAGGATAACGATGTTACTACTTAGCCTATAGATTCTAACTCCTACTTATTCGCCTTATTAATATCCTCACCACTTATTGCCATCAACAGATTTCCCTCTCTAATTACTCCTCTCGTATGCTGAAGGCTCTAACTCCAATCTCTGGTAGGGTCATGGATGCATTCTTCTGAAGAATCGCAAACTTGGAAGAAACAACCACCTAGTACATCCTGAATTCATCAAGGTTTTATATGTCATATCATTTCGTGACGAAGACCACCCTGAAATCGATCAAATGCCTATAATTCAGAACTTGAAAATCATAAGACAAAAATATATTTAAATTGACTTACGATGTGCTAGTTAGCGTTTTTGATAAATTCTTTGTACTGCCTTCTACTTGTATCATATCCATTGAAAAGTTATTCATTTTTTCAAATTCTTTAATTGGTATGCAAATAATGTAAGCGAAGAACTCGCTTATGTTGTAATCAAGAAGCAATTTTACGCTTTTTAGCTCTAATTGTTATCTGAAGGTGTGTGTGTGTATATATGTAACGGAATATTAAATTAGTATAACTATGATTAATGCATAAATGATTTAAAAATGCCTCATTACGAAATAGTCGATTAATAGAGACGGACAGACAGAAAATAAGCAACTATAACTTGTATATTAATATTATTATTGTAATTAGTGTTATTATTTGGAGATTTCTATTTTCCAGTGATGAATAGCCAACCCTCACTGTTATTTATTTCACCCCTTCATTTTAGTAGTCTTTCCTCTGTCCGATATATTTCAATCTCTACCATTCAATGCTTTAATTTCATTGGACAGCTTGTAATCTCACTCCTGTGGATATGTATAGAACAATTTATTGAAGATAACCTATCACCAAAGGCCATTTTTTCTATTTTTCACAAGGAAAATAGTTATCTGCATAACTTTGACTCCTTTTTTATTACTTTTGAAATATTTTTCTAAAGGGTGTGTGTGGGGGGGGGGTAGTTGTAGTATCATATACACAAAAACTGACCAATAGGAAAATTTAAATAATACTTTCGTCTAAGTAGATGAGATAAACAAAATGGCTATTCTTTCAATGCTCAATATACATTTATGCATTATACAATGATACACCCATTGGGAAAATAATCAATAGAAAATAGGGCAATTTTGTATTTTAATCGCTCAAAAATAATTCCATTATAAGAAGACAAAGGAGTGCCAGATTTTTTTGACATCCATCAAATTGCATCATATTTCTCGCATTTCAAGTTGTTTTTACATTCCGCTTGTCTTCATGGATGGCAACCTTATATCACGCACGTTTTTAAAAAATGGTTTGAAGTTTTTTGAAGGAAATGGAGCATACTGTAGATGGAACGACTGATGCGTTATCGACTATAAAATATATCACTTGAAGATCTTGCACAAGAAGTAAATACCTTGCAATAAAATAGGTTGGAAATTTTATACTATGTTTTAAAAGAACTTTTGTGAATAAAGCTGTCTGTTTAACAGCTAGGCTACTAGAACACTTCATCATTACATCACATATAATTACTCTTCTTCGGTTAGTCTGAATCCACTAAAATATAACTTCTAAAGGTGTTTTCTACTCTCGTGAGTACTTACAATATCTACGACCGTCTGATTCACAAGTTTCTACTGAATTTGAGAAAAAGTAAACTTTCAGGTGGATTTACTGCCAGTCATTATTTTCTTTGAAGCTCCTGGATAAAGAGAAACTATTATGTAACAATTTCCGCTGAAAATTCTGTATATGATTTAAATTTATTTTTATCATTTATTTTATCCCTTTACGTTCCCACTGGAACATAGGGCTTCAAACTAGAGGCTTGAAGTTTCAGCAGCAATGGTGTGTATTTTAGCGGGATGGAGTTGCTAGTCCTATGCTCAACCTTTCCAGTCTTATTACTGGTTTAGCGGGGTAAAGGAGTGCGCCGGCTGGGGATCGAACTGCGAACCACATGCGTGGTTGGTGAGCATTCTACCCCTGTGTCACCGACGCTTATATGACATAAATACTCTTTCAGAATGAAGCGATTATTATTATTATTATTACTAAAATACTGTTAAAATATTATCAAAGAAGATTATTTTATGGAAAGGTCATACTTCTATCACGGTGCCCAAATTCTCTTCTTATATAAAGGAAACCATCGGCTATTAGAGTGTTTGTGACAACCAGAATTGAAATCCTGTTGTGAGGCAGATTTTCATTTTACCTTCAAACATCATCACTTTTAAAATAATCAGAAATCTTTGAAATCAAAGATCACCTTCAGATAATGTCACCATCAGTAAACAACCTGCTCATCTTCCTCGAATTTAGTATGTTTAGGGATGACAGGAGAAGACTTGACTACTCAGCTAGTGTAATGATAAATAGACACTGACGTATGATTCGCTCATTTACACAGCAATTGGGAATTTCCTGCGATGACCATGGTGAATCGATGGCCTGGTTAGAAGTTAGATCATGTAGCTTATTTGGCGAAGCATCAGATTAGTGATTCAGGGTCCATAGCTTCAAAACAATTCCCTCATTTATCTAGACAGCATCGTTTCAGCTACAGGAGGCAATGATAAGGCCGTTAAGACCATTCAGGATCGGAATGGCAAGAAAAACCTTCATCAGTTAGAAATCAGTCTGAAAGTCTACACCTCTGAACATATGGAACAATATCCAGATTTTCAACACAAATATCACAAATCACTCTTTCTATATTGTTCAGAGACTTGGTAAGTGACTCATGGAAAGCGTTTCAAACAGGTCACTTCAGACTTTCATCAACAGCCTTCTTCTCTAGCTCAATACTGAAGATTATATGACTGATTAGAAAGAACCAGCTACAAGGAGCTCTGGTTGACAAAGAATCAACCAAGAACATATATCCCAATGAATATAGTGAAGAAAACGGAGATGGGTTGGACACACCGTTGGGTGACATAGTGTGCCAGGTACTTGAAGGGAAGGTGAACTCGAAACGACGAGGTGGGCATAAGTTTGAGAATGACATGGTGAAGATCGTGTGGTGAGGAGATGAAAGTTTACAGGCAATCGTGGAGCCAGTTAAAGAGGACTTCAGAGAACAGAATGAAATGGAGATGTTCTGGTGAAATCCGATCTTCTACTGGGAATCCAAGGGTATAATAATAATAAATAGTTACTTCATTAACTGTCTCAAATAGTCACACTGTCAAAACCAGAAAACCCGAATTTATAGTCTAAACTGAGCACTTACCATTCCATTTACATTTTAAGATATATCCAGGATTACTAAACGTATGACACTTAGAAACTACGAAGAATGAAACACTGGCAGATATTAAGAGTGACATAGAATACTGAATGTTCATAATGAAAAGTAAAACCGATAATTTAATCTATTTTTTTATCTGAACAGAGACAATTTTAGGGGCTGAAATCGCCTTCCTGCAATCGATTTCATGAAACAGAGATTATTTTTGGTTACAGAATTTCATCACGAGCTGACATCGGTTAGAGAACCATTGGAAAACCTAGAAGTACTGGATAGCTATTTCGTCCTAGTTTGGGACTCTCCATCAGTACGCACACACCGGGGTTCGAACTCAGATTATTTTTGTCTGTCTAACAATACATGCATTTGCATTAAGAAACTACTAAGTGTTAAGTGATTGTCATTATCTCACTGCAATCACCACAGGAATGAGTAATACATAACTGTTTGTCTAACATCATTCCATCAGCATCCCCAGTTGACCTTCTCCTGTCAATTCTAATCATAATCAATTAAAAGTAGGAATAGTAGTTCGTAGACCTTCAGCTTGAATTCCAATGAGATTCAGGTTTTAATTTCACCTCAAAACATGACCCATCATACTAGTTGTAGATTACCAATCTAAGACTATCTCAGATGGTCTTATTGACAGTTAATGGACAGATGGATTGGTGTCTGTCTCTGTGACTTTGCAGTGTACTTTAGCAATTTCATGTGACCAAGACCATGTGTAGATGTCTATCTACACTAAACCAATGAAAAAGAAATGTTCGCAAGAATGAGTTAATCAGTTGTCAACACCGATTCTAAATATCTTCATTCTTCCAGAAATATAATTTCCCTGTAACATAGAAGTGAATAAGAGCTCATATTTTCTTCGCTGTAACAAAACACTTCCTATTCTCATACATTCTGCTATATTTACTAGTGATATTGCTCGGATATGTGCATTCATATAAGCTATGAGCCAACGGGAGTAACTGCTATTATCATTATTACTATTATTATTATTATTATTCATCCCTTTGGTTCCAAGTGGAACATATGGTTTCAGAAGCACGTCTGCATTTCATCCTGTGCTTGGTAGCCTTTTTCAGGTGACTTCCCGATTGTCCGCAAGCTTTCAACTCCACCTCAAATGTTCTCCTGCATATCACTGTCAGACCCACGCTCAATTTGGCATTTCTGATTCGAGTCCCATTCATGGGCCTGACACATAGTATCACTCAACGGTCTTTTCAGTATGTGTCCGACCTATGGTAACAGGTTCTTAGCTGGTTCATTACTATTGGCACTTTTTGTTGATTCAATTCAAGATGGAGAGATTTTTCTCAATGATCTGTCTTTTTTGCAAACAAATTATTCTGAAAATTAATCTCTGACGAACTGCTTGCCAGCAATTCATTCTGTCTTGCAATACCTTTCATAATATACACCCCTTGACAAAATAATTTATTGAGAATAAACCCATTATTGTGTATAAGTAGAATTCACTTTAATACTATAAGTGATTCTCATCCATACTTTTCATCTTTTAGTCAAATTTATTTCCATTTTGAAACTGTTGAATAAGAAAGAGTGTACTCCACTCAACTATCATCACTTATTAATTTGCAGTAGAAATGATTAAGAAATAAAATATCATGTAATCTGCTATTTCTAAAATAATCTCATACTGTTTACTATGCAAATGTTTCGACCTGCATGTTAATAGGTGAGACGTATTTAAATTATAAGTGAAGGAAGGTGATAGTATAACAGCAGAAGGCGAGACACGGAAGAAAACGTATCTTTTCAATTTATCGAACAGCTATTTATGTAGATACAGTTTATATTCTTTAACGAATCACTGAGCTTGTAATTTGATTTACATTAAACGACATAAAAGAATGTTCAAATACATATTCTGTTGCTAATGCAGTGTTGAACTGTGGGAATATGTAAGAATAATATTCCGTTGGAACACATTGTCTGAATTACACTATCAGAATAGCATGTAGTGGTCATAGGGTTATATAGGATATGTACTTTGCATGGAAGTAAACTACTATTGTGGACAGTCAAATTAGAAGGAAGCAGCTGTCCAGTGCTCCTTACTTTTCAATGATCTCTAAATGAGATCTTAGTTTGTCACGG